TGAATTCTTCCCTGTGCTTTGGCTTCTCTGCGCTCCAGTGCAATTTTCAGAGTCTCTTCTGACATCCATTTTGGTCTTTTCTTCCTCTTCTGTCAATTTTTATTAGAATAGATAAATTATGATATCTCATGGAAATAAAACAAGTACTTTTAGAATATATTAAAGAATTTAATTGTAAAGCTCTATGATATAGTTATTGTGGAAATATAATTCTCTTTAATCTTGCACACCTATCTTATTTAGACTTTATTTGGATGACTTTTTCCAAAATGGCGTTGCACTCACATACCTATATAATTTTGACTAGCAGAAGTACATTGAAGACATGTCAGTTATCAATTGTTTGTTACTGCTCTTAAGATTTACTTCCTGTAGGATAAATAGTAGTCATTAATTGCTTGATTATTTTAAGTCTTATCCATTATGTTTTTTTACTCTTCCATATGTTTTCTAAAATATAGTGCAATATTGACATATTCTCTTACAAGATTTGTGAATGTTGTGACTTTTTAATTATAATAGTACAAAATTCACAGGAATTTTTTCTTTTCTTTTTTTTTTTTAAATTTTATTATTTTGTGTGCGTGTACCGTCAAATCAGATCTGACTGGTACAGGAGGATATTGCGCCTCCTTCTCCGGCAGAGCATCTGGTGGATTCGAACTGTGTTCCTCTGGGATTGCAGTGCAGCTTCTTGCCACTAGGCCAAAAGAGCTCCCCTTAGGAATTTTTTCTTTTAAAGTTAATATAGACACTTCAGCTTTTTGGCAGTTAGTTCTTCTTATTTATTAACAAGAAGATTATGTACCCCAGAATTACTGAATTAAATAAGCTTTGTCTAGTAATGTGTATTTCATAAAATATCTCCACAAAGCTTTGCTGTAATAAGCCTTAAACTTTGAAATCTCTCTTCTTTCAGTACTGAGGCAATCTTTAAGAATATGACAAACTATGTTCTCCAAAACAATCTTTTTGATGAGTTGAATCTTGGTTTCTCAGTTTTTCATCTTTTGTACCTTTACTGGCTTACGAAATTACAGTAAATTACAAGGTATTTGGTAACTAAGTGTTGCGCTGTGGCCAGAGAATTGTGGAACACCAAGACTGAAACTTATCTGGAGAAAGGGTAGGCTTATAATTTGCTAGTGGCTCCTGAAGTATTTCACTGAAGAACTCACTCATGCTTGCAGGAGAAATAATTTGCACATATTGATAGATTTTACTTGTACTCGCTGCTTTATTTTGTGTACTGGGACATGCAACCATCACAAACTTGAATGACCCTATGCCCTTATCTCGCCTGGGCTTTTATACGATACAAAACATTGTAACAATGGCATCTTGTGTTCCATAGTCTTATACAAGTAAAATTTTCATGATTTAACAAAAGTGTCATGATTGGTGCATAGTCCGATTTTCATATGTTAAAACTCAGATGTCCCCACTAGTGGAACTTGGGTCTTTCATTTTATATAGGAAAAGAGGAAGATACTTCTAATTAATTTTTAAATCAGAATCCAAGATGTCTGCTTAAGGAAACTATTTTAAAATATTTATAAGACATTGTTAATAGAATTTGTGCTTTATAAAGAATTTGTGTTTATTAAAGTTACATGGTAAAATTCTGAGTTTGTATGACTTTATGTTAATGTATGTAAACATGTATTTTTTTGCAAAACATATATATTTCTCCAAAAATTCTGGTCTGTACTATTATATAATATACAAGGCACTTAATGAAAGCTTAATTTAAATGTGGACTGAAGAGTTTTTGAGTCAATAATATTTGCAGTCATAATGAATACAATAAGGAATCTTAAGTGGGAAAATCCTATTTTAGCTGATAAAGTTTAACCATATTTTCTTCTATCAAGAATATTAATTGCTATTTATTACCAAAACAAAACAACCCAGAAACTAGACTTTAAATATTTGTCTGTTCATGTAATCCTCCCATCTTTAAAGAATCAAAGGAAATTGTTTATATAATTGACATTATTGTTGTTGTGTGCCTTTGAATCAGAACCGACCCATAGCTGACCCTCCAGCGGGTTTCCAGAGGCAGTTAATCACATGAGAGGAGATTTCCCGCCCTCCTCCTACATAATTGAGGTTATTAAATGATAATTAAGGGAGTTAATTTAAACTGAGAGTTAAGGGAGTTAATTTAAACTCAGAGTTAAAGAATAAAACTTAGAAGGGTAAATTCCCAGGTAGGAACTAAGACCCTTCCACTGTATAAATGGGGATAAAGATACTTACCTTTCTCTCCCTAAAGTTCTAAATAGGTAGTGTGTTTTGACCTAATGGTTTAAAGGCCAAGAACTTGCCTTACAGAGGAGAAGGAGGGAAACTATCATGTTTTCAGGAAAATGTGGATTTTATTGCTCCAGTCCATGTATATTTCATTTGTGTATATGAAATTCTTGGGCTCAAGGGGCACAGTTTTTTTAGGGAGTGTAACACAGAGTGAAAGAATACATGTGCTTTGTTTGCTGGGATATTTGTCTTATAATACAGTATTATGTTGGAAATGTGATTTCTGAACATTCAATTTTCAGATGTATTTTAGTAACTTTTGTATGAAAATAAGAGGCTCCAGGTAAAAATACATTTAAGGATTTGTTCCCCCAAATGGCTTGGTTTTTCTCTGCCTTTTCATGCATCCCATCTCATGTATGGAAGTTAATTACATATTTGAAAAGATTTTAAGAATAATATTAGACCCGTCTGCTCTTAGCCTGTGTGTGTTGTGTGTTTTTAATCCTTTGTCCACCTTAGCCATTTGGACATTTGGATTTTTCTAAACTCCTGAACCTTTATCTTTGCAGAATCTTTAGAAGAACAAGATGTTCTTGATAATGGTACAGAGGAAGTAGGTGAAGAAATATCAGCTACAGAGCAGACAGACCAAGTGATTGAAAAAGCATCTGGCCTGGAGCAGCCAGAGGAGAAACCAGAAGAGATCGAGAGTGAGGAAACCTCAATGAATGAAGCCAAATCAACATTTCCCAGTGTTGATTCTCTTTCTAGTCTTGAACTAAGTGGGGAATCTTTGATGACAAAGGAGTAAAAGTTTCCATGTGCCTTCAACTGGGTGTTTGTAGTCTTGTTGATGTTAATGTTTTTCAGGCGATGTGTTCCCCCCCCCCCATTTCTCCTTCCCTCCTTCCCTTCATGATACGCTTCCTATCATTTGGTTCTAGATTGCCTAGCTCTTTGAGTGTCAAGAGGTATTTCTACTGGGTATCAAAGTTAAAAGCAAGTGCTATCAGCATAGTAATGTCCTTTGCAGAAAAATGTTTGATATCGTTTGTCCATTTTAAAAGTAAACAAATGTGATAGCATCACTGTTTGTTTTTTTTTTAAATATGTATGCCCTGTAAATTGTATCCATTTTGACATACAAAAAACTTTGATTAGGAATAAGTCCTCTACTAGTGTTTGATTTAAGGAATGAAACTCAATTAAGATTTTGAATACTTCACCAAAATGCATAGAGTTTTAACATGAGTTTTTTGCCAGGGTGGGGTTGGTAGGGTATGGGTAGGGGACATGTCTATTTAGGCATTTACATTAAGCAGTATGAAAGTTTTGACTGTAACTATATAGGCCTTGGTACGAATTTTCAGTAAGAATGCAACTGAACAGTCAAGTGCAGTGTTTCTTTTTGATGTTACTTATTTTGCAGCTGGGCCAAAGGCACATGATGTATATAAATTAGCTTATGTTTACATATTAACAAATAGGAAATATCTCTGCACTTGACTGTACTTGAATTCTGAGCATTATTTATACTTGTAAAATAATGATGATACATAAGTGAATTTTGTGCTCTTGTCTGTATTTTGTTAAGGAAAATAAAGATGATCTTGCAGCAGTTTATTTTTGTTAAATATCTAGACTTTTAAAATATCTTGGTGTATGACTTGACTACTTGAAAATGATCTTAGGAGGAAGAGTGCGCAGCACAGCAAATCTGTAGGTTCTGCCTAGAGCGTATTACAATGCTTATATTCAGATTTGTTGTCTGTCAAATTAATATAAATAGTGATATTTTAGAGGTTGTAGTCAGACCTTAGAGGATTTTTTTCAGTCACTTTGGACCATTTGCAATTTTAAATCTTGAGATGCAAAAATGTTTCGTTAGATAGTTAGGAACTGGTAGTTCACTCAATATAATATGTGTTCTAAGATCATCTGGGAAATATTTTGGCCCAGAATAGTAATCCTTAAACATCAAATGCAGTGTGATTATTTTTTACAACTTTGTTTTCTGTGAAGAAAAAAATAAAAAGAGCAGTTTATTATGACAAAGGATAGAGCGTGTATGAATACTGTGTGACTGTTTTTAAGTTGTACAGTAACTGCCATTGAGTTGATGCCAACTCATAGTAGAGCCCTGTGGTGCAGTGACTCAAGTGACTGGCTGCCAATTAAAAAGTCAGTCAGTGGTTCAAACCCACAAGTCATTTTGCTGGAGAAAGATGTGGCAATCTGGTTTTGTAAGATTGTATCTTGTACTTGACCAATATTTTTAAGAAATCCAATCTCTTCATTGTCTCAGACATCATGACAGTGACTAGAATTTTAGAGCATGCACAATTGGGCCCGTTTATGGCTTTATGTCTAGTTCTTACTCAAGCCATTTAGTTTCTCTGAAATGGACTGGTTTTCCCTCTGCAAAATGGGAAGATGAAAAATTACTTTTCAGGAGTATGAGAAGTTAAAAAATGATTTACACCAACTACCTAGTTCACTCCCTGATATCAAGTAGATAGATATTTTTGTTGTTGGTAGCTTTATGAAGTTTGAGAGGGCCACATCATCTTCTACTTGAAGATAAAGTTAAAAATAATGTGTGCATATAATTGAGCTGCTCAAAATTAAGCCAAAGTTTTGACACCAATTTACAGTGTACACTGGGAGCTTTTCACTGTCACATATATGTGTATGTAAATACCTAGATAAAAGAAATACAGAATTGAAACTCTTGGAGAATATAATTTTACTTATGAGTTTCACCAGTTATTTTTGTACTATTATTGTCCCATAGATATTTTATTTATAGGAAACATTCAGATTTAGATGTACATTGCTTGAAAATGAGGACTATCTTAGAGAACTATAGTTTAGTGATCAGATCAAGAAAATATTATGAGAAATAAAAATAATTTTTGAGAGAAATGTGGAAGAGGTCAAAAGGGATTAGTAAAATTAATTCAACAGGTTGCACATTATGTGCTGTAATGGTACAGAGTCCTTTAAAATGGAAAATTTTATTTTGATACTATTGTAATACACCATGCTTTAAAGAGGTGTAGAATGCCTCATTTCTGATTATTAAGACTAGTATGAAAAAGGAAAATCAACCAATTAAATACTGTTATACAGAGTGGTCTTTATTTCCCCTCTTACTAATACTCAGAGGACCACCAGCTAAATGATTCTCACTCTGCCCCCTGTGTAATCTACAAATATAGTCTACCTCCTGTCCCTCCATCTCTCCTGCATCGTTGTACATAGGACTGCAGCTATATAGCTTTAAATTCCTGGCTGTGCAAAGCCCTTTTCTGCCTTAGTTTTCAACTTAAATTTTCCCAGAAGAGATTCCCTCCACATCTCATCTGAACTTGGCTTCCTCCTTTTATTCTTTACTGTGTCAGTCTATCTCTACTCATGGCCTTATATTAATTTCTGGGTACTTATTGTTTTACCTCTGTGATTCCATTGTGTGGCACCATATCTGACTCCTTTTTATAATGTGCATAAATAACTTTCTCATTAAATCCAGTGAACTGTTCAGTTCCTAATTTACTACTTGACTGTGTTGACATTGTTGAACACACTTCATTTTGAAGCTATTCTTCAAAGACCTTGCCTTTTCTCTTCCCTTCAGTGTTCTTTGCAGTCTTCTGTTACTCATCCTTCAGATGTTGGGTTCTACCCAGTGTCATCATTTCTGTACTCTACTAATCTGCCTCTAAAGGGGAATGATCTCATTAGCCCTTTAGAGTTCATTACCATCCATGCTACCAGTTATCAAGTCTTCAGCCTTCATGTGTTTCTGTCACTCCAGAGCTCTCTCTGCTCATGTACTGGATTGGTCCCTCACAATCAGTATATCCAAGAGTGAATATTATCTTGAAATCTTCTCTTTTTTTCATTTCATTAAAAACACTACTATATAAGCAAAAACTGGTATGATTCCTTTACCCATTTTTCTGTGTTCAATCCTGTCAATTCCTATCTCCCAAGTATCTTTCAGTTAATTTCTCCATCCCATTATCACTATATTAATAATGACAGTAAATATTAGTATTCTTATTCTGTGTCAGACATCCCTGTTTTATTTTTTAAAATTTTATACTGATTTATTTACAAAGTTTGAATAGATTGCTTTTCTCAAAAGATCCTTCCCTCCTCACCCATCAAATTGTGCAACCCTATGATTAACACCCCACCCCTCCGCCCATCCACACGCCTCTGCTTCCACTCTCCCCCACTCCCCCCACTCTTTGGTCCTCATACTACAATAATGGTTTTATACAGTATTTGTCCTTGTGGGACTGTCTTCACTCAGCATAATGCTCTCCAGTCATGCTGTTGTTATTATTGTGTATTATTTTGTTCCTTGGCAAGACTCCTGTGAAGATTTTAATCTCTGTATTATACGAAAGATGTAGAGAGAGTAGTCTCTTTGTCCATAATTAATACATGTCTGGTGAGTGGAAAACCTGGCATTTGATTCAAGCAAATGACTTTAGAAGCCTTGTTGTTGTGTACTGTCAAGACAGAACTGACCTATAGCTGACCCTCGAGCAGGTTTTAGGGTAGTAAAATGACACAGGAGGGAGCAGCTAGTGGATTCAAACTATATACTTTTGTGTTGACAGTGCACTTTCTTACCAGTTAGCCACCAGAGCTTCCTGTAACAGGGATAGGAGAGGCTATTCCTTGTAGAGAGCCATCATGGTTGGAAAACATGCTTGTAGGGCCAGTGAAAGAGAGGAATAACCCCCAATAAGGAGGATGACAGTGACTCCAGCAGTGGGCTTCTGTGCATCAGAGATAATGAGGATGGTGCAGGGTTCAGGTCTGTTCATTGGATCACTGAGTTGTCCTTGATTCCATTGCATCTGTTATTAACAACCAGGCCTTTTATAATTTTGCTTCTAGTCCTGTTAGCATCTTTTCTCTCTGCAGCTACGTGTCATCCCTACCACCTCTACTTTTAATGTAGCTATAATAGTGTTTTTCAGGGCTTGAAATATGAGTGTTCTTCCTAATTTCTGATTCTTTCCTTTGCCTGATTAGAACACCATTCCACTCACCTAGGTGTGGAACACACACAGTAAGTAGTTGATAAAAAGAAATGAGTGCAGTGTTAAAACTTTAATACTAAGGTTTTCCTCTCATTGCTGTTGAGGTGGAACCAACTCATAGCTGATCCTCCCGCAGGTTTTTACAGACTGTAGATTGTGCAGAGGAGATTACTCATTTTCCTCCCAAGAAGCCGCTAGTAAATTCAAATGGGCCTGCCTTTGGGTTGGCACCTTAATCCTTACCCGCTAGGCCACCAGAGCTCCCTAAGCTAAGTACTAAATTTGTAATTACTCATTTCTTTCAACATAATTTCCTTCCTCCTCAGAAACTACTCTGCTTTTTTTTTTTAAGAAATATTTTACATAAAAAGCCTTTTGAAAATTTCTGCATTTGCTAGATAGTAAATTACCCCAAATTGCCCTTTATCCATTTGCTTTTGTATGAAGCTTAAACTCTATTTTCTGTTCTTTGACTTCCGGAGGTGCTGCTGTTATGTGCAGTTTCATTTCAATTTCTTACAGATGTTAGAAAAATAAAAACATTATCTCCTTCTATATAGTTTTGTATTAATATTTTCTAAAACCTAGATGTTCTGCTTTATGCATTTCTCTTAAGTATTTATGCCTTCTATTTTTCCTTTGGCAGCAAAATTGATAGAAGAATGGAAGTACTTTCAGAAGATTAAAAAGTGCTCTAAGAAATCTCCCCCATAAATTAGACTTTTAAGTTCCTTTTCCAGGATTTTATGAGAATAGACTATATTTCC